CCTGGCATCACCCCCTCAGAATCTCTGGGAACGTGGTCTGGAATGCAGCCTGGCTCTCAAAACCCAAACCCAACCTGTTGCTTTCTGGCCCATTCCACATCATGGCAACCCCGTGTGTTCCAGAGCAGAGCTGTGCTTCATAGGTTGTCAGTGGGCGTAATTATTATGGCCAGGCCTTTGTTCTTCGGTGCCACTTGGTGGTTTTGAAGCACCCAGCATTGGTTATCAGCCAAGAGTCAACCCCCTGTTCACCCAGGGACCTGTCCAAGCGTTCTAGGAAATTGCACCATGAAGCAATGTTTGAGAACCCCTGGATGAAAGAAAGAAGACAAAGTAGAGCAGGAGTGGTCAGATGCCAGGGGTTGTGTTTGTTTCAAAACAAACAGGAAGTTAAGTGTGCAGGAATTCAATCAAATAATAGAGTGGTCTGTTGTTTGGTTTATGAATTAATGTGTTTCATGTGAGAGGGCATTACTGAGGACATTTTCCCACAAGGACACGTATTCATATGTGATGCATTCATTTTTCTCTTTATAAGGGCATGATGGATGGATGTAATTATGAGTTGCACTGAATTTAATATGCATAGGACATCAAGTTAGGATTATATCTTAAAGCAATTTGGATTTACCACACCTATTCAGGATGGTTTCTTGAAGTAGCATAAATAATTATATATTTTCCACAACTAGTAGTAGTTTCCTAGTTATCTTTAATAATTCGCACATGTTTTCTCATTAAATGACCCTGCAGATAGCATGCTGGGCTCAGAATTTAATTGAAAAGAAATTTTGTTCCTGTCTTGGCCTTTGAAGGTATACACGGTCAGAGTCAGCGTAGCTCATTAAACTAAGGCTGAAGCAAAACGGACATAACATAACGGAAATCCAAGATTACTTTTGCATTCAGTTATTCTTGGGAATATTTTCTTGATCAGTGGATTTCAAAAGGCCAAATCCAGCTGCCACAGACTTGTGAGCGTTAGCACGCCATAAGAACTTAGAGAGTTTAGTGGCTGATTTTTCCCTTCCTCTTTTAAACAATATTTTATTGTGCATTTGGTGAAATTTCACATAGCAAATTAGGTCCTCGTTTAACAGTAGCTGAGTGACATTGGCTATGTGTTTCACCCTGTATCAACATTCCTAGTATTTTCAGTCTGGTTCTGTTTTCATTACTCTGTGTTCTCTGCCTCCCACCTTATTTCCTCGTCTTTGTTTTAGGGTAAATGTTGAATGTTTAATAGTCTTCTATAGATGATTCTTTAAAGGAGCACATGGGCGATAACTGTGTATTCTATGAGCCAGTCTGTGATTTCACTGAAAGGTGACCTCTGAGAGTGGTCTCAGTATGGCGTGTAAAGGCTATCTCAGGGTGATCATTTGGGGAGTTCCTCCAGTCTCTATAAACTCAGTCATGTGGTCTTTTAAAAAAGAATTTGAGTTTGGAGGCACAATGTTATCCCATTCTATCTGGGACCATCTATTGTGTCTCTGATCAGAATGGTTGTTAGCGGTGGCCGGCCGGGGCACCGTCTAGTTCTTCTGGTCTCGGGGTAGAGGAGGTGATTGGCCCTCTAGAGTAGTTTCTCTTTTGAATCTTTGTTCTCTTTCTGCTCTGGATAAGTAGTGACCAATAACTTCAATGGACAAGGTCAAGCTTTAAGATATCAGACACTAGTCCCCAAACTAGGATGTAGAATAGAAACCATATTAGATACAAACATTTCCTAGACCTACTGTAATCGCTCTTGAGATTGGTTACTGTGCTTGAAGGCTTAGGACCATAGCCTTATTAGACTTATTAGACTTATTAGACTTATTGTGCCATTTGATTGGGTTGTCCCACAGGCTATGGTCCTAAGCCTTCAAGCACAGTAACCAATCTCACGAGTGATTATAGTAGGTCTAGGAAGTGTTTGCATATTCTTTATTATACACACAAATAGAGAGATATGCATATGCCTAAAAAATGCCTATGTTGTTGGTAGGTGCCTTTGAGTCAGTTTGAACTCAGAGTGACTCTATTTGAATGAAATACAACTCTGCTTGCACAATCCTTACCACTCGGTCCTATGCATGTATACACATACCTTCCTGGACACATATACCTGTGCTATTACCATCCTGAATACATGTACGCATATATATCTACTATGTGACCACACACATATTTTGGTTTTTATTGTTGTGAAAGTATATATATTAAAGCATTTACTCTTAAATAACCTTTATTCTCATATGTTTCTCAGCGTTATCCTTTGCCTTGCTCAAGTTGTTCGCCCTTTAGCCACCTTTGGTATTCCCTCTCCTAGCACCAAAAGTAATCAATGTCTACTGTTTAGAATGACGCCCCTCCCTTTTCATCCCTGGCATTCACAAATGAATGCTGACTTCGGAATGTGAATCTATCTTGTCTTCTTATAAAGGGATGATCATTCACCATTTGTCCTTTTGAGACTGACTCACTTCACTCACACAATGTCCTCTAGATCCACCTGTGTTATGTTTTGAGAACTCATCACTGCTCTTCAGAGCTGTGTACTATCCCATTGTATGCATGTACCACATTTTGTTTATCCATCCACTCATGGATGGGCACTTACGTGGTTTCCATCTCTTTGTTGTTGTGAGTATGTTGAGTATGTTGCAGTGAACATTAATGTGTATGTATGACGGATTTTCCAGAAGTTGACCCCCAGGTCTTTATTCCTAAGTGCCTCTGAGTGAGACTTGAACCTCCAGCCATTCAATTAGCAGCCGAAGACCTTAATGTTTGCAACCCCACCACCCCTCTCCCGGGACACCAGTGGATATACGTGCATCACCAAGACATTTACACAGTATTCGGAGAGATACCAAGCGTGGACAGCGGGCTAAACACCAGGCATAGGCTCATGAACAAGACAGACAAAGCCTGTTTTCTCATGACACACTCATTCTAGTAACAGGCACAGCCAATAAGTAAACGAATCCATAAAGAATTCCAGAGAGAGAGATTCTGGGGAGGGAAGCACTAGTGAAATGAAAACTAGGGCTTGGGAGCTACTTGAGACAGAGGTCAAAGAAGAACTCACTCTTCCTAGGCGGCATTTTGCTTAGACTAGAAGCGGGAGAAGGAACCACTTTCAAAGCGGCAATGGTTTAGTTACTAACTAAGCCAATGTTTAGTTAGCAACTAAACAATGGTTCCGTTCCTCCTGCGGAGGAAACAACTTGGCACACTCGGGGGTCGGAAAGGAGGCCACTGAAATAAGGATGGGATGGGGGTGGAGGGGATCAGATGTTGGGGTGGAGTGAGGCGTGCACCTCAATGAGGAGACATGACTCCTAGATCTTCATTAAAATGATGAACCTTGTGATCTTAGAGCCGTTGTTATTTTTGTGGGGTTTTTCCCTTTGCATTCTTTCCCCAAACCATTTTATCAGGAGCTAATTCAGACATCCTATCATTCTGTAGTTCAGACCCATCCAGTAGTAGCGTAAATTGCTACCACATCAGTTTCAAAACATTTCCTTCCTTCTTGAAATTAGCTCCCTTAAAAAAAAAATCAGCTCCCTTTCTCCCTCCCCTATCTCCCCCACTGTGCCCCCTCCCGGCCCCCCAGGAGCCCTTATTCTAATAGTTTTCTCTATAGGTTCATCAATTCATCAATCCTGGGTTTCATATACCCCAAACCAGACAAACACAACCAAGATTCAAGAGGACTTGTGCTTTTTTTTTTGTTTTTTGCATTCATTAAATTTTCTCCAGTAAGTACATTTGCAATAGAGTTGTATATTGTAAAAGGATTAAATTTGCTTTCTCCGTGTAGAAAACAGCCAGCACTTTGTACCCCAGGAAAGAACGTCGGGCCCTTTTGGTTTAAATGCTTGTACCATTGCAGAAACCCTGTTTTGATTTTCTAGAGTCTTTACATTTGAACTTCCTCCTTTCCTCTCCCACCCACCAGTTTACTAGAGCCCAGAAGATTTTTGATTTTTAAAAAGGAATTTGTGTACATGAACTCTTAGTAATTACTCTTGTTAATAACTTGTATTTTGTGTTTTCAGAGTTTAAGCCATGAGTTTTCCAATGTAAAGATGGTAAGGACATGGTAGTACTATTTTTATAAAGGTCTATTGGTCTCACAGTGGTCCCATGTTGGGCAGCTGACTGCAAGGTCAACAGATCGAAACCACCAGCCACTCCATGGGAGAAAAATGAGACTTTCTACTCCCGTAAAGAGTTACAGTCTCCGAAGCCCACAAGAGCAGTTTTGCCTTGTCCTATAGAGTCGCTAGGAGCGGGAATGAGCTTAGTGGTAGTGAGCTTGGTTTCTTGGTTTGGTGAAAACAACCCAGTCCGCTCCAAGGGCAGGAAGCGTGGTGGTTGGACTGGGCGCCCTGTTTGAGTGTTGTCTTCACCAGCCTCAGACTTTGGGCAAAAAGTCATAGTTTCCTTACGTAATTTAGAGTGTAAACATGCCATAATTCTTGGATATTATGAGACACCTCCTCATGCGAACTCAAACAGTAATCAAATATGCAGAAGGACTGCCAAGCTTCTGTTTACTTCCCCCCCCATTGACATTGGTGGTACTAGGTGCCAGTTCCAGCTCATCGTGAGCCTACCCACAACAGAGTACAACACTGTCTGGTCCTGTGCTGGCCGCGGAGTTGCTACATTGGAGCCATTGTTGCTGTGACTATGTCAAGCCAGTTCTCCTCGTGTTTTTTTTGGCCGATGTTACCAAGCTTGATGTCTTCCAGGACTGGTCCCACCTGACATCCCCAAAGTACGTGAGACAAGTCTTGCCATCCTTGCTTCTGAAGATCCCCTGGCTGTCCTGCTTCTAAGAAAGTCTGTTTTCATTTTCTGAAATAGGTTATTTTATCAAATTATTTTTCCTTTCTCCTTCCTATGGAGATTTGAGTTATTTTCAGTTTGGGCCTGTGACAAATAGTGAGCTGTTGGAAACTTTGTTGTGCATTTCCTTTAGGTATATATTTATATTTCAGTCCCTGGATGATGCCAGCAGATTTCTCCCAACAGAAAGGTTGATGGTTTGAATCCACCCTGCACTGCCCTGCCGACGAAAGGTCAGGAGCTCTGCTGCCATGGAGGTGAGAGCCGAGAAATGTGCTGCAGCAGTTCCATGCTGTCACGGGCGCCTGTGAGCTGGAATCCACTAGCTCACAGCGGGCTGGTTGGTGTTGTTTTGTGCACCTATTACTGGTGGGCATTCCTCTCAGCGGTGGAATGGCTGTATCATAGGTGGTGTGTATGTGTGGCTTTAATATATCACACTACACTGTTTTCCAAAGCAATTGAGCCAATTTACGTCTAATGTAAGCAATTATTATCAAAAAATTCGTTTTCTTTGCTCGTCAATTCACAGAAAGAACCCCACCTCTGGCTGAAATGGCTACAAAGCTGCCCCACAGCAGAATTTCTCAAAGACTCTGAAAATTAAAATTAGGTCAGATAAGCTTGAAAAACATCACATAATACAGCCCCTTCATTGAGAATGGGCATTCGCATGTTAAAAAGTCTAGTCTAATGAATCCATTCATTAAAATTACCATTTTGTTTGGCTGAATGGCTTCCTTTGTTTTTTAATCCATCGAGTTCTGCAGTCTTTTTTTGAGATGGTCCCACGTGGAATGGGCACATGTATGCTGCCTGTGAAGGGCTGGGTGGGGAGAAGTGGGCAGGGGTCTTTGGCTGTCCTCAGAGCTTTGATGCTTGACAGCTGTGGGGATGAAGCCTTCTCGCAGGGTGGTTGCTTTATGTGATGATTAAAGGGTTGGCACACTTGATCATTAGGAAGCTGGCAGCCTATCTGGTCTATGGAGGTTTCCTGAGCTTCTCTGTTGTTTGTGGTGTGTGTTTCTCTAGCCACTGTGGATCAAAGCATCATTTCTGGTGGCCTGCTGTGCACCAGCATTGATATGGCCTTTTGGGATAGAGGAGCTATGTTAACATAATCACACTTTTTTGTTTTATAAGAGAGAAATGCTTTTTAAATTATAAACATAAGTTGTAATTCATCTCCCCTTTCTTGACAGTAATGTGCAACATTATTTAAGATATTGTTTTATTGTCAGTGACAAAACATACCAATAGTCGAATCCCTTGCTGCCTTTTTATCATTTTCTGTTCATCAGGGTTATCAGCCCTTCTCTCTGTCCCTCCCCTGGGACATGGGATTTAGAACTGGGTAAAGGATCATACAGACAGGTTTAGCACTCAAGAGCAAGACCAGTTTATAGTCTGGAAATGAGTCAACACCAGTTACCAAGCCAGGCCAGTGTGATTTCTGTGTCATCAATGTTTGGGCTAAGCTGAAACAGGTCAGGGCCCTGCACATCCCCAGCAGATAGTACCAGTAAGATAACTG